CCCCAAGGCTGCCAGAGCTCCAGGAGGGTTTGGACAACGCTCTGAGGGACAGGGTGGGGTTGTTGGGGTGTCTGTGCAGGGCCAGGAGCTGGACTGGATGATCCTGGTGGGTCCCTTGCAGCTCAGGATGTTCCAAGAGTCTGTGATTTAGTGAGACCTCGTAGTTCCAGTGTGGAATTGAGAACCTCTTCCTCCTCCTCACCCCCTTCCCCCACCAGATGCACTTTGTCATCTCCAAAGCCCTTTGCAACCATTAACTGGTTAATCCTCACACCCCCTGTGGAGCAGGTCAGCATCCCCCTGGCCCAGGGACATCCCCAGCTCCAAAGCTGCTCCTCAATTTTGAGTGTTCTCAAACAGAGCTCCCAAAGCCACGGAGGAGTCGTGGCACAAAACGGTTCTGAGCCCCAGTTTCGGACCTGATATCCCTCAGGAGCTGAGGATTCCCGACCCCAGGCTTTACTGGGATGGAAATTATCACTAATGCTCGGATTAGAGCGTTTTCCAGCAGTTGGTTCTGCCCATCCCACTGAAATGCTGTTGGTGAAGGGCTTGGTTGCCACCAGGACACCTCCAGCTTGGGAACACTCTCCCAAGCCTGCTCAAAGTGCAGGTGGGGCGCAAGTAATTCCTGCTGGGTGACAGCAATTCCCTGTCATCCGAGGGAGAGATGCAGGAGCGATGCCACTGGAGCCAGAGCACTCTTCAACCAGGTCCCATTCCCACCTTTGGGGAGGTGAAACCACCAATTCTGTGTTTACACCCCCGGGGAAGGTCACCGGAGGCAGGGACAGCTCCCCTTGCCTGGCTCCCTGCTCTGCTCCCAACGGCTTCTCCCGCTGGGGGGGTTTGGAATCACGGCAGAAACGAGAGTTCCTCCTGCTGAAAGTGCTCCAGAGAGCTGGTGGACACACTGAAGTGAGTGTTCCTCCTGCTGAAAGTGCTCCAGAGAGCTGGTGGACACACTGAAGTGAGAGGGCACGGCAGGAAGCTCCTTTCCTAGAGCAGGCCCTCACCCAGCTCCGTGGAATGGGACTGCAGGGGGATTTATCTCTTCTTAGAGCTCAAATTATCTGATGTGAGCCGGTGCCAGTAAAAACTGGGATTTCCTGTCCCCAACCTCCCTCTGCTCTACTGACTTTCCCTTGCTTCGGGTGCAACTGCTGCACTTTATCCCTCATTCCCCAGGAGTGATCCAGCTGGATTCAGGGGCATCTCACCCGCTCCTCTGGAGCATCCTCTGGAGCAGGAGCAGCCCAGCACGTGGGGTGGGGCAGGAGGAAGACGAGGGCTGTGACACGGACGCCTGAACAGCGAGCAGAGCCTTTCCCAGCCCTCGGAGCCAACAGGACAGGACGTTTTTGGCACCCGCCGACTTCAGGAGAGGAAACTCCACCTCGGGGCAGCGCCGAGGGCACCGGGAACTTGGCTGGGGGGAGGCCAGGAGTGAATGCTGTAACCACGAGGCAGAGTGTGCAGCAGCAGCAGGAACACTCAGGAGCCTGGGGCGGCCGTGCTGGCACGGATTGATGACTCCTGGGTCAGAGCTGGGACCTCCTGCCCGCCAGCCCCGAGGTCTGGGCGCTTCCTCGCAGTTGGGAAGTGCTGCTCCCTCCCCAGTCGTGCTGAAACAAGGAGGCAGTTTCCCTTTTCCTGGTGTTCCACCTCTGTTCCATCCACGCCGGAACGCCTCGGTCACAGCCCGGTGCGAACACCACGAGACAGGCAGGGATAAAGTGAATCCCCCTGGTTCTGATGAGGGCCCTGCACAGCAAAGGCTTTACCTGTTACCTGAGCACAGCCTGCCCGAGGGGTCTGAAGGCAGTCCCTGGGACAGGGATGATGTCCTGTCGCTGTCCAACGCAGCTCCACCACCTCTTGGCCCCAGGGTTTTGTCCAGAGGTGCTAAATTTGGTGACCACACCCCTGCTGCCGTCCCCACTGTGAGTGAGGAGCAAATACTCTGAGACAGGGAATAAATACTGAGCTGGCAGTGCCATCTCTGCCCCAGCTCTTGCTCCCTCCTCCCAGACAGCCAGGGAGCCTCCGGCACCGCGGCGGAGCCGTTGGGATTACAGGGTGTTCCCACCACGGGGCTCTGCAGACGCTGCCAGGGCCTCCTTGGTGGCTCCATCACAAAAAAAGGGCTCAGCGGGGCGGGTGGAAACATCTGGCTTTGATTCTTCTCTAAAGCCACGACTTTCATTCGGCCACCAAACCACTTCCCTTTCATCTCTCCGGAGGACCGACCCCGTGGCTCTGCCCTTACCCTGCCCCTCATCCCGCGGGAAGAAGGTCCCAGAAAATCCAGGGCAGAGATTTCAGAGAGGCAGCAGCTCCCAGCTGACACGTCCCTGCCCTCCTCCTTCCCTGCATTTCCTTTCCAGGTCCTTTCAAGGCACAGATTTCTCTGTCAGTGCATCTCCAAGGGGCTCGGATCCAGTTTAGACCCGATTCCCCCTTAATCCCCTGGGATGAGAAGCCAACCTTGAGGAATTTGATAGACCTGGCACGTTGTGCTGAGCGGGCCAGAGCGTGCCCCTGGGCTGGAGGGAGAAGCTGTGTCTGTGTGGGAATTCCTTTGACTGAGGATGCTGAGGGTTTGTGGCTGGGCTGGCAGGCTGGGGAGAGGGCTGGGAAAAGGCCTGGCAGGATCAGAAACACAAGCAGAGGCAGAGGAGTTTCCTCAACAACACTTGGCTGATAATTCTGCTATCAATAAACGATTACCCGAGCTAAGAGATGCTGTTTTGGACTCTCAACGTGTTTTTGTGCAGCAGGAGAGGCCTGAAGCAGGAATGCTGGAGGTTGGAGAGATCAGCTGCCATCACATGATCCCTGTAACCACAGCAAAGTTTTATCCAAAGCCAGGGAGACTCTTGGCTCTGCTTCTGGGCCTGAGCTCAGCAGAGATTGTGCCTTGTGTTTTCCCAACCTTCCATGGATGCTGAAGTGACTGAGTGGCTCTCCAGGCAAAGCTGAGCCCCAGCAGTGTGGGAGAGGTGCCTCAGGAAGCCTCAGGCAGCTCGGAGCCACCGTGGGGGCCGAGCCCAACATGCCAAGCAAACCCCTGGAGCTGCCAGCCCTGAACAATCCATCTCCCGTGGCAGACTCTGGCTACACCCAAAGCCTTGGCAGTGCTGGGGTGGGAAACTGTGGCAATAAGACCAAATAAACCAGCTCTTCCCATCTGCCTCCTGCCCTCCTCCTGCTGCAGCACCGTGCCCTTCGCGCTGCCCCGGGGAAAAGGATTTACCTTTTTTTTTTTATTTAATCAAATCAAAATAATCCAATAGAAAAAATGAACAAATAATCCATGCAGGGAGCAGCAGGACAGTAACAGGCTCACATGGAGTCACAGCTGCCTGGGAGGAGCAAGGACCTGCTGTGGGGCTGCCGTGGGACACGGAATCCTTCCGTGGCCCAGGTGGGTGTTTTGGTACCCGGGAGTTTTCCCCTCTTGCTGCACCATATTCCAGCCAGGAAACCCACTGGGTCATCCAGCCCTCAGGAGCTGACCTCCAGTGGTACCTG